TACATTCATGCGTTCAGAAAATGAAATTAAGGAAATAATCGGCGCTGTCATCACTGAATCGAAGCGATCCTTTCGAATGGCATTGGAGAGGGCTAACGACTATTTGTGAGTTAATTGGATAACATAGCACGGTCTAAGAAGTGTATATTTTGATTGTGAGTTTTTATTTCGATCGCTGGTTGATACCATAGATAGAGTAAGCTGGAGTATCATGGAGGAATGTGGGAATGTCAAAAGTTTCCGATGTAAATATTGCTATTTAACTAGTTTGGTTGTGATTGTATTTTATTGCTTTGAAATATAATGGCAGTTTACTGATCATTGTTGCTCAACTTAGGGTGTTTTTCTATTTCCGACGTTTTTTTTGACGAATCTGAATTTTTTGAACAAGTTCTGTTCTCTTGTTGACAGTCATAATGTGTGATTCCGTATTTTGAGATGGCCAGTTTTGTTACTTTCTTCCATTTTGTTGACGTAATTATCGTTGCTCACTGGTGGATTGCTTTCGTTATGTCCGGAGAATGTTGAAAGTAGTTTAAAATTGTTCTTACTCTCTCATGTTTCGTTGTTTTTCAATTATTGCCTTTTATTTCACGTGATCCCTCAGACGCTCCCTTCTAACTGCTACCTAGAACGAATGCTATTAGTTCTCATCTGGCTTGAAGCATTTATCTCCTATCAGCTGCTAATTCTTCAATTTTTATTCCTGTGATAGGCCGTAATGTGTGTGTGTGTGTATAACCTCGCATTATTTTTGTTTTTTCCTGATAACAGAGTGCTTTATACTTTTCCTCATGATCACCGTTTTTTCATGCAGCTGCTTTTTTGATTGCTTCCTTATGTATTCTTGTTTTACATTGTATGATTTTAAGAGTCGTTTTTTGCCACAGTGCTTTGCAGAAACTGCATAATTGGTTTTCATTTGAACTGCACTTTTACAGATTTATATGTTGATTATGTTGATAATAAATTTTCAATGTGGTCACGTAATGTGTTTATGAAAGCATTTTGATAATTGAAAAATTGAAGCCTCTGTTACCATTCAAAGCGACATCATGCATTAGCAGTTGGTATGTGCATGTTTTGCACAGTCGAAGCGATCAGATTTCGTCGAAAATTATGCTGTTAAATCACTTGGTACATGTGGATCATTTGAAGTTTATTCTCACTTCAGTATACGCTTTTCTAAATGCAACCTCATTCATAACTTTTTAATCATCACGGAGCGTTTAAATTGATCGTATCGTATTTCATAATTTGATTTAGTGGATTTTAGTAAACAATGGTTTGGGCTTCAAATGTCATTCTTTACCATTGTTTATTGAACTGTGCATTGGACATATTCACAGCTTCCTCGAAACGGTCACGCATTTTATCACATTTGGCAGTGCACCGCACAACTCTGTGTACATTGTGAATAGAAAGCGCTTTTGGGATATGATACGCCAACTTCAAACGAACTGAATTAGTCATGAAAAACGTATAGCTTCGCAGTTCTTTTGCGTTTCATTTGTTGGTCGGAATGTACGTTTACATTCGAGAAATTCCGTATTAAACGTGCTTATAGTCTTTCAGAGTTTGGTATGCAAATTTTTGAGGAATAATTTGTCTGTTCTGTTTTGGTGTTATGGTGGCTGAAGAGAATTTGAGGTCTGAAGAGAACGACTGCAAGAAATTGCGTTATCTTGGCGTATGCCAACTGATAACATTCTTCATCACGGTGATTGTATTCACCGATGTGCATATACGTTTGACCGTACTGGAGGATAGTTGTGTCCGACAGGCCGCGTCCATGGAAGCAGATTCTGAAGCAATCAGATATCGACGCTCTGCAGTCAGCCATTTGCCCTCCAGAGCCATCAGCACGCCTCGCAGTGATGTGTGGGTGCATTCACTTTCTAAAATCAAGGTATCTTCTGATGCACTTCTAAAGCTATCAAGTTTCACGCAACTTTTGAGTGACTCATTCGAATCGTATCAAAAGATGACGTTGAATTACCAATACGTGAGCAATACGTTTTGATTCATATTTACCTTTGAAGTTGGAACTTAGCAATAAATTGGGGGTATCCGGAAGTATTACAACTAAGAACAGTGAATTTTACAATTGCAACTCAACTCAAATTGAAAATACGCTATCGCTCAGCATAAGAAAAAATCATTTAATATCAATTGGTTAGTTCATAGTGAAACCTGGAGATGACTGGTGATAAATGTCCCATTTGAGGTCAACGAACTGCTCAACAAATGCCTTGAAATTCATAAGTATTGCACAGATGCAGCGAGCACGGAGCGTGGGCCACCAGGTCCTGTAGGGCCACCTGGAATACGTGGGTGAGAATTTCATCTTTTATTAACGTATGCTCTTGGAAGAAAACCCTTTTCAGAAGATCGCTCACAATCAGTAAATTTTATGCAAAAATTTAATTGAATGCAGATGAATTCATTACATCTTTCTGCTTGTTCACATTACCTCAAAACAATCCAGAACGTTACGTAAAATATGAAAGATGCCGTCAAATCTACGAAATCAAATTGACGAATGGAAGAATAGTTTAAATTTTTTACCGAAAATATGAAAACATGCATTCCTCTCGCCAACATCCCTGGAAATTGCTTTTAGCCCACTAGAAATGTGTAAAGGTTAATCGCGACTTCCAGTTTTACTGAAAAGTTCAGATCTGACCTTTTTAATGATAGATTCTGAAGTGATCAAATTTAAGGAACCCCGGTCAGATAGGACCACCAGGTCGGCGTGGATTGATGGGAATACCAGGGCCTCCAGGACCACAAGGTCCACCTGGTCCGTCTGGAAAACCTGGAATATGTCCGAAGTGTCCTGTGGCACAGAATTATGAAGTTCAAAAGAAGACTGAATGTCCAAAAGTAGTTCTTTTACTTGAATAATTTGCAATTTGGAATGGTAGTTGCGTGACAGAATTGCAGAACTCGAATTAACCGTAAAACGTGTTTGTAGGCTGAGCCAATGGAATGTCCACAGAAGGTGACACTGGATGGTGAAGGAGGACCACGATTTGTGGATAAGCCATTGCCATTCTTTGTTGAAATGGTGCGTTTATCTTTTGGAAGATGCAACAATGAGTATTTTGTAAATCATTGTGAGATCTGTTAACTCAAGCTTGTTTGACGAATTCAGTTTATGTTCATTTATGTTAGGATTGGTTACGGAGGGAGGAATTTCGACCAGGAGGATTACAAATCGAGAGAACGGGTTTTAGGTGGCAGATTTCTCTTTTTTCACGCCGGAGAAACGTGGAAAATGATGGATTTTGAACTTTTAATCACGACATTTCGGAAAGTTGGAGCATTCTGCTGTTTGTTCTTCCAATGCAAATTAGATATAACTAGTATTTATTGAACACAAACCTTATGAAGTGCAAGGAAAAATGTGCTAGATCTTCACAATTCAGTTTATTACACAGGTGCTCAGTATTTTTGTCCAATAGTTCATTCAAATTGCCCAATTGCCCTTCCTCAATTGGCGTTATGGAATGAAAAAAGTAATAGTCACTGTATAATATTCATTCTCGGGAATGCAAACAATCAAGTCGATTAATGATGAATCGTGAAATGACAGCGGAGATAAGCGAATTAAAAACGACCAACAAACTTGGTATTTGATGATTGTGAAATACTAAATGAAAGCACCAGTCTCATAAGAGTCTCCAGTAGCATATTTCGGTACTTTCCAGTTCAAGGGCGGTAGGAATTCAGCGATGATGCTGGGCAGCTTTGGGCAGTATTTAATCGCCTAAGCTTAACTGTAAAACCAAGCACGGGTATTTTTGCGAAATATCTTCGCTAATCACAAGCAGCGACGTCACACATTCGTTACTTCGATTGCACAAAATTGCTACCAGCCAGTGGAGCATACATGATATTAAATATAGAGGACTGCGGTTTTAGCTTTTCGTTGTTCCACACGAAGCGACTTTTTCACCTCAGTGTTTCGCAAGTTCAAGCGGTCACACGGTGGTAACTGAAATCATTTACGCATGCTTGTCTGCGTTCATGCATGATTGTCTTGTCTGCATATGCCTATTTGTTCCGACTGTAGTACCGCATCGAAGCTGACACGTTTTGCAAATTCATTTTGGCAGCCGTCTGCTACCAAAATCTCCTGTTTCCCAACTGTGGACATCAAACGGACATACCGAAACCATTGGGAGGTTGTCCTGGCGTAGAGAGGATCGATGGTCTTCGCTCCCTTCTCGAAGACTCGCATAGGAGACTACTCAATACGTTTTTCTTCCATTTCACTCGAATGCAATTAAAAACGATTTCATCACAGCACTTAACAAGTGGATCTTTGAATGTTGATGATTGTTGTCCATCTAAATAGATCAGTTTTAGTGGCTGATGAACTGGTAATTAGTTTCGAATTAGGAAGTGTGAGATTTCAAAAAAACCCTGTTTTATCACTTCATATTGAGCACAACCAATGATACCATACTTTCAGTTATTATACAATGAAACGGATTTAGCAACAGAAATTGAAGGCTGTGTGCGCATATGCCTATCAAATCTAACCACTGTGCCACCGGAGGTTTCGACAGTACCAACCAGCACTGAAATACCTTACATTGAGGGTGTAACTGCCCGTAAGTTTTTCAGGAAAACTCGTTAAATTGGGTTCACCAAATGCCGTTAAGATACAATTTCATTTATTGTTGAAGTCCAGAATATGTTATACAGCTGAAGTCCCGTTTAAGATTGCTATTTGGAAAACGTTGGTAAGCCGATATTCCATGCACACTCAAACACATACTTTGGCTCATGGATGCGTGACGCTTATCCAAGAACTGGCGAGGTTTGTCACATTCACTTTTTATTCTTTCATCTCACTTCCAGAATATCTTAGAACCAATAATACAGCTAGGATGGTCGTCTTCCACCTGCTGGGAGACTTGTACTGGCAGGAACTCTCAAAACTGAAAGAAATCGTCAGTGAAATGCGATATGCTTGAAGGATATGATGAAGCGTTGGTTGACGAATCATTTCCAAGGTGATACTATTGAAGAATATTTAGATGAAGCTGATATGAGAAGGGAGCGTGTTTATGCCACGTAAGTTTCATTGAAATGTTACATATTCATTTGAATCTGCGATTAGTTAGTCGCTCACTTTTCTCGAAAACTGCTCAAATGGTTGAATTCATCTTTTCGTTGATTGTGAATCTCTGATTTTTCATTCATAGCGAAACTAGCGAAACGTATACCTGATTGGTAAATCATTCAAATTATGTTGAGGCACCTTTTCTGACAAAATGCGGATGCTTACGTCTCTCATTCAGCACTGTTATGATTTTATGCTTAATGGCATTCCTTCACATTCATCGTCATTTAACTATAAGAAATATTTGAAACGCTTTAGAATCAAAACTTATTGCGTATTACCAACCTGAATTTCAATAAAGAATGCCATATTTGATCATAGACATCACCTGCCATATCTGTATGATGGTACAAATTCGGTGTTCTTCAACGGATCGTTCTATTTCCATCGAGCTGGTACGCCGAAAATTGGTAAATATGAGCTGTATTCGAAGAGATACAATGAAGTGCTTATCAACGAGAATGCGGCTCACAGAGGCAACAATGTAAATATTTTCAAGCGTTATAAATTCCACATTTTTAATTTCGACCAATGCTTTAATTCTGAAAAATTCTCTCACGCCGAGGTGACGTTCAATCACAACGCATGATTTTTTAACCACAGCATTTGTGAGCTTTCAGTGATTCCACAAAGTAAGCCACAGATCACACCTCTTCGAAAAAATGCATTCGAGTCTGAAAACAACCTCTGTGAAATTGCACTCTCGAAAGTTTGACTGAATGATAGAATGTCGATAGAATTTGACTGAACCCAGCGGTCAAACTTTGATTGAAAGTGAAAAATTCGACTGCTGTCTCAACTTTCTGTTTCGCCTAAGGCGCACTAGTGGGCCAATTTGCGCTTTTTTAACTGGAAGCACCCCGTGCGTGAGTTCGTGTGAAGAAAGTCATGTGAACGGTTATGCCATCCATTTGTTTTCTCTATTACATAATACTACAACTCCACGGTTATTAGCAATAACTTTTACTAGCGCTTCGGTTGAGCAAAAATGAGGCTAACGTTCTAAGGAAGTAATTAGCGCTCTGCTTAAGCGGGTATTTTGAAGTTACATCCGCACTCAGATCGTTCAAGCTTCCTCGAGATTGTTTTGGTTGAGAGTATCCTGAACCAGTTATTATAATCTATTCGGTTTCACTATTTCAGGTGCTATTCAATTTGAATTAAATTCTGGGATAAAATTTTTTCGGGTGATCTATCTTCGTGAACGTTGCCAATGTGCGAAGATCATCTTTTAAATCATTATTTAGCGGAAGCGTTCCGTCACAATAATTAACGGGTTTAGCAATAATCAACGCTTGAGAAGTTGTTCAGTTGGAGTGACCCAAGCGTTGGAATTCAGTTTCATTTGGTTTCAGTATCTATTTAACTTATCGATGAATTACTTCGATTTGGCCGTTGATGAGAATGCTTTGTGGGTGCTCTTCCATTATGAAGATGCCGATCATCTGAGTGTTTCAAAACTTGATATCAACAACCTAACCATTTACGAGACGTGGAATCTTACTTTAATCAATCATACTGAGGTTGCGAATGGTTTCGTGGTTTGTGGAGTCTTATATTTGGTAAGTGCATGCACTGAATTCATTTCTATTGATTACAGGATATCATTATTGGGCATTTCAAATAGTCTCTTTTTGCTCAACCTCCGATTCACGTTCTCTGAATAAATTGAATGTAATCAAGGTCGTATTCAGTGGTTCAGTTGCTATTGCTGCTTCATTTACAAATGGTTCTCATTGTACTGTGCATCGTATGAGGTTGAGCCTGACTTACAATTAAATAGCGAGCTTTGCCATTCAGTTCGAGGGGAGGGACGTATCCTACGGTAAAATCACTTGCAAAAACTTTGATGTTTCATTCGGCGCTTGGAAAAATACTTTTGAAAAATACTCGTTAACGAACTATTTAGGTGGTCAACAAATTTTCAAAGAAGTACTTGCTGTGCGCTTGTATATTTTTAAAAAGTATTTTTCGAAACCGTCTCTGGTTTGGTTTTCTTACAAAATACATGAATTTTATCGGCCAGATTAATTGAAAACCATTTTTGCACCTGCCAATTCAATAAATAATACCCATGGTGTTGTTTGTTTAAAATGACGTATTCTTGAATTATATGCCTCTTATCGATCGTAATAATAAAAGTGCCATTTAAATAAGTTTGTAAATATTATTTCAGGTGTCTAGCTCATATGAGCTCAAGTCCGATATCTCGATTGCATACGATTTTTATCGTGACAAATATCGAAAACCAAACATTCGCTGGGTGAATTTGTATCGAAATGCAAACATGATGTCATATAATCCGTATGACAAGCGTATCTACATCTATGACCATGGTTATTTGTTGACGCTTCCGGCAAGAATTACGTGGCGAGCAAAATAGCACAAAATTATTAAGGGGGATGGGTTGACACAGATGACAAATTTACTGATGGCTATTTGACGAGGAGTAAATTTTGGGCAGAAAAAGTGGATGTTTCATCGTGAAGTTATTTTCGAATGGAAGAACGAGAGATGTAAACAGTTCATGCGTTATCGGGTTCTCTCGTCAAAAGTAAGCGTTCTAATGAGATCCGCAAATTGAAAGTTTCACAAAAACAACTTTTCAAATCATCTCAGCTGCAGCTTCACTAGAGATTTATCCACTGATAATCTCTTGAAATTCTCGTAAAATAAAAATCGCTCTGACGAAGATATACTATGTTATTGCTGTCATCAATGTATGGTGATATTTTTGCCTTCTCATGGTTTCGTAACCTCCTGTCCCTTTTTTTTCACTAAAATCGCTGTCATGTTTATAAAACCGTCAATAAAATTATTCGTCAACAAATCAGAGTTACAACACTAAATGCTTATTCAATCAGTTTCAATGGACGAATAGTGATGTCAAGTGGTCAAAAAAACCCTCCTAACAATGAGCTTCTTCAGCAGTGCATAGTCGAAAGCGAGCGCTGTTGCATTAACTGCTCAGAAACTGAATTTCTTTTCCTTCATGTATTCCAATCTCCTGATCCAGAGAACATTTATCTAGCTAAATTATTGGATAATGAGCGATGCACTAATTGGGCTTGCTCGATTTTCACAAATATCTTTTAACGCAATCGTAGCTTATGAAATGATATAATAGTTAATTTGACTGTGGATAATACATTCATACCACGGAACTTCATCCAATAACGAAGGTAATGTTGGATTACCACCGAATAGCCTATCAAATTCATTTTGAGCATAATATTGCGAAGTTTTTTCGATGAAAGCAGATGAGTTTCTACGGTACTATTGCTTTCCTTTGATCATTTTAGATGTTTGTTTGGAAGCCTGAGTATGCAGTTTTTGACGTCGATCAGTTAATCTGATCAAGATCTCGCCGTTTTCCCAAAACACACCAAAATCTCATAACATCAGTTCACAGCAATCATACATCTCGATCACTCAGATGCCAGTCAGTTGGAAGAGCAACTAAGTTTTGGGATTTTTTGTATTCGGAATTTTTTTAAGGACAGGCAATTAATCGCTAACAGCTCCACAAAACCGTATCTTTCTGGTGGTACAAGAATCTTCACCGTCACTAGAGTTTCTCATTAACGATCACGGATCAAGTGTAAGATGATGGTTGTAGTCCCAATAGATCATTGTATTCGTAACATAATAGGGCACTTAGGATCGTCAAAGTCTTGCATCCAGAAAGCAACCTTCTCGTATATATGGAAGGATGCTTTGGTTTTTCTTTTGAAGAAACTTTGTGTTGAATAGAAACATGCATCCCTGCGAACGAAGCGGAACAAAAATTTCTTTACTTAGAATTGCATTCATTGCTGACATTTTGATTGATCTCCAAATTCATATTAACATTTGTTTGAAAAGCAACGTTATCAAATCGTGAACGAGTTTCGGAAGGTACGTGGTGAATAGGTTAGGAACAATCAATCGTGCTCGTAAGTACTAAATCGGAGTCGTTTGAAACAGATTTTTTTTNTTTTTTTTCAGCAGAATGGTTCAGAAAGCGATATCTCCCCCCTGAACCAATGATTTAATGAACGGAATTGTTACGTCGCACAGAAATGAAATGTCCTCTAACCATCAGTCTACTGAACAAACACGAACTGTTATGGAGCGTGGAAAAGCATCGTTAATTTCTTTGAAAGTGTGGATGAATCAATACAAAATTTTGTTTGCTCTCGATCAGTTCAGCTGTCAATTGCACTGATGGAAGGTAAGTGGGATAGAAAATGACATGTAGAACATTGAATAAATAATGTTAACGCTACGCAAACAATCTGATGGCAAGAATGAGTAATTGTGTGAAGTTGTTCTCTTGTGAATTGTTAGTGCTATTCAAATAACGGAGAAACATTTTGTTCACTCCTGGGAGAACAATGCCTTTATAATGAAAAGTCGCTGAAAAGAAAAACCTATTGAATCTGACGAGTAATTTAGCAAGCTGTCTGATCACGGCAAACAGTTTCGCATGTCACTCGTTGATGAAGTCGTGAAAAGCACTTATTCCAGGAATTTGTTTATTCGAAAGATCTTTGAAAATGGGAACATTATAAGTGAATGGTTAGCAACCTTTGAGAATAGTCTTAGTTGATCACAGAATTTTTGAGTAACTTTGTGAAAACTGAAGCGCACTTTTGAAAGTTTTGAAAGGAACCGTTTTTTCATAATCGTTCGAAATAAAAGCATTATGACTGACTAGTTTTGCTGCAATGAACTGGTAGAGCTTTCGCTGATTCCTAGCTATTACACATAACGCTGAAAGAACAAACGGCTGAAAAACTTGGAAAAATAAATTGTGATTTTGTTTTTATGCAAGTTGAAGCTTTTTAACCTCTGTTTGAGCAGGTGGTCGTTTCATCGCACAGCTTTTATATTGGGGGAGAACAAAAAATGCATTCGAAAAATGACTCTCTCAATGATTACCAACGTGTGCATCAGACGACCTAGCGTGGGTGAGTACCAAGCTATATGTGTGTTGCTGAAATGCATAAAATGGGTCTTATCAACTCATTTTAAAATCAGCCTCTTTCGATTTTTATCGTAGGAACGCGGAACTATTGTGCCAAGCGTTTAGAATGAATGAAGATTGCAAAAATTTTAATTGAGTTTTTCGAATCAATAAGTTCTTCAACAGTCGGTAAGTTCATGCGATCGATCACTGCATTCATCGTCTCATAACGACATGTAAATGTCACAAACAGTCTACATTCGTTCAATGTTGTCATTCAAAATTCGCATTCTCTAAAGAACAAACACGAAAAGCTTCATTGGCTCAACATATTCAAGTAAACTTTATGATCATCGTTTGTTCCAGAAGGAAAAAATGATCAAATTTTTTCTGTCTGGAAAATTTTATGAATAATTTTCGGACTAACGATTATTCCATAAATCATTCATACATTTCTGAACATCAAACATGTAGAATCGAAAGAAAAGTGATTGCGATGAACGACGTTGATGGAAATGGAAACATCTGAAATTTATCATATTGATCTGTACAGATCACACCGTTGGGAATCGTCATCTTCAGTGGCACTCTTTCCGTATACGCAATAGAATCATCCGTGACAAGGCCTCTTCAACGAATGTATATTCTCCTGAAAACTGTTCCAATTATTGCTTTTAAAGCTTCTTGTTCATGATGAACCGGATGAAGTTGGTGAGAATATAAATGTGACAAGTCAACTTACACGAATTTAAGACCTAAAATGTCTCCTTTAAAGGAAGAATTTGAAAATGGCTTTGTCCACTCAAAATCTTCCCCGTTAAGCATCAGAATGATCGCGCTTATTCAAGCACCCTATACACCTCTTTTAATGAATACTCTCGAAATCAGTTGCACATTTTAATTTTAAAGATGAGCCGAATGAACTCATTCGAAATGTTAAAGAAAGGAATTACCTAACATTCTATCTTACATTAGTGCGAAATGTGTGAAATCGTGAGGAGCGTTTCCCTTGGATGATGAAATTAAAAATCCTTTCCACAATCAAAAATCGAACTGAAGTTTTTTGAACATTCACATCTTCTATGATAAAATGATTGATGTTATGCTCGAATTTAGATTCAGATTTTTCACTTAATAAATATGCATTTCAACAAATCACTCCATTGCTAATCGTAAATAAATTCGCTTGCAGTCGGCTCAATTCCCCATCACAAAACGCTCCTCATAAATTTAGCATCCATAACTTCTCATTCTCAAGAGATACAGATCAACTACATCGTAATATTGCGAACTAAAAGCTCTATTTATGACTTTCATTTCCCCGATGACTTTCCATGTCTAGACATCAACATTTCCGCAAATTTTCAGTCCTAAATGCTTCTCAGAAGTTCATTGCCCTTTGCTTTTGCCTCCGGTTCATTGAATGAATTCAATATGCTTATGTTCATAAGCTTGATGAACGTGAAAACTTCTTTATCATCTGGGTAATTTTGTTCGGAAGTATGCTTCGTTCTTTTGAATCAAATGACAATGACCGTGCGCATTCATATGAGGATCTACCTCATCAGTTTATTTGCACTTTCTGTAATAACTCGCAAAAATCCATTTTCGCTTATAGACAGAGAAGAGGTTTTACAGGTGTTTTACAGAAAGGACACGGAAAAATGTATCCATGAATAGAAAGGATTCTGATGTTTTCAGTAGAGAGGACTCGTCCAATTTGCTGTGGAAAAAAATAACGCATGCTAAACAACTGATGCTACTGTAAAAGCTGATTTTATCAGTAAAATATGATCGCTTGAAAACTTTCTAGCAAACTATCGGTGCTGCTCATAAGATGGGATTTCGTCTCTACTGACAAAAGATTTTCTCGTTTTGGTTTTTACTCCGTGCACTATGACACAAGCTAAAAAAGCACACTTCGCACACAACGATTTTTTAATGTACTGGAAAAAAATTGAATTGACTGATTTATTTAGCAAACTAAATGATTTTTTCAAACTGCAGCATTCACGAATTCACACTCATACAGACGAGCATCATCTTCGATCATGTTCGTATTTGCTGCTGGCAAAGTTCTTTGATGGTACCAGAATAAGTTTGGTCGATAGAAATTCTGATGTTTTCAGTGGAACCATTTGAGTTTTTATGCTCTCAATGGACAGCGTCCGAAGACGATTTCTGCTCAGAAAAACATATTTCAAGAGGAAAGAGGAAAAGTGGTCAGTAAGGGCTCTAAACGCGATGTAATAAAAGCTTTCAAATGGTATGCTGTCTATTCCTTCAGTGATAGGATTAGAGTGGGGAAGGAGCTAAGACTTTACAAAATTTCGTTGGAACTTCTTCAAAAGCTGATCATATCATTCCATGAAATATCGCTCGCTGTTGAATCTTTTTTTTTCGAATGACCAGTCGGAAGAATGGGATTGAAGCAA